TTCAGTTGTAACTGTGCCACATTGGGTTAACAAATATTTCACAGAAGAAGGCCTTCAGCTCCTGTTTTATCCTGTTCTAGTTGTCTTTGTCTTATTTTTTCCTATTGCAAGTTTGGTTGGTACATCCCTAACAAAGTTTATGATGGAACAAAAAGAAAACCTTATCCACTCTGAGTGGCAAAGGGAATGGCTCCTTAATTACCTGTGCTTCCCTTTAATTACTGCCGCTTGATTTAAATCTAAAAGGCACTGCTTTAGAGTGACAATGTGTTTAGTCTAACATTCATCAGAATAAGAAAAATTGGAACATAGTTGTATTATGTAATGAAGAGAGAGAAAATACTGAGACTGTTAAGCTATTATCTGTCCCTATTTAGAAGTGGTGTTTACTGAGAACTGTAGCAAATTGAAGTAATATTAATTCTGATATAACTCTCTACTTTTATTGAAGGGTGACTCAAGCCACCTTTTTATCTCAGAGGAAACAATATAATACTAGAGAAATGGCCTTTGAGAGAGAAACTGTACCCCTGGTTGAGAGTTTACATGAAGGTATTTTTCTAACACTTACTGAGAGGTTTTTCTAATGGCACTGAAAGAATACACAATGTGAAAATGTAAAACTATATTGAATCAGAAAATAGACCTCCCAGTATTTGTTACATGGGCTAATATGGGAGAGTTTGCATTTTTCATCACATCTATTTTCACAGAAAACGATTATTTTTATCAGTGTGTTTTAATCTGTTGTATTTCCCCTAAGCACAGATTCACCTTCAAGGACTAATTTATACATTGCAGTTCTGTTAGTGTCTTGGTTTCCAAATGTTTTCAGGAACTGTGGTAAGCTCATGTCACTGTTAATTAACCTTAAAGGGAAGACAATGCAATTCCTCTGTAATCACAGAATGATACTACAGAGTCTGTTTAGCCTCCATTGCTTCTAACTTTTAAATTAGTTTTACAAAATAGCAAAACAATTTATAAAGTCACATTGAAACTTGAAATAATCAAAGTGGAAACTCTTTGGCCAGTAGCTAAATATTGTTCATTTACTGCTGGCAATGATTAATGTTCTAGGCAAATTATTACTGATTTTATTTCCAATGTGTCTACACACTTATGACAAAATTCAAGCTTTTGAAAGAAATTAAGACCAAATCCACAAGTACAGAAAATAATAATCTACCATAATATAATACTTTAATAATTTAAATTTTCCTTTCTCATAAGGGAAAAGTTATTGTGCAATTCTTACTATGAATCAAAGCTTTTGGGGTAAGTCTCTTTTTCTTTTTTAATTTTTTCAGTTAAACCGTGTAAGTAAACTGATAAATATTATTTTTGGTTTTGACCACATAGATAAAACTAGAAATTATAAGGATTATAAAAATATTATATTTTTTATCCAACTCACAAAAACATCTGAATTGACAAAGGCAATAAGAAGTCAAATTTGATAGAAACAATTTAATTTTAAAATTTCTTTTTGATGTGCACAAGGACAGAAAACTTCTTATGTGGATGAGCTTCCCTACAATAGTCAATCTGATTGGTCTTCAACAGAAAATCTTTATAGGAGTATCAGTTTTGTATCAAGAGGACAAGAAAGGAGCTGATGTGGAGCAGCATGCAATGTGTGTGTCCTCTGTAAAGTTCTCCACAGTAAAAAATATCTCTGCTTTAACAGATATCCTTTAAGAGGGACTCCAAATGCTAGGCTTTCAGGGCTTAGTTGTGAAAGACCAGAAGCCAGGGTCTAAGGATTTTGAGCACCTGGATTCAGGGGATACAATGACAATCCAACCCTTTTCCTGGTAAAAGAACGGGTTAGAGTGCAATGGAGGAACTCCCTAATTTCTTTCTCATTAGTTAAGTACTAGGAGTTTTGGGGAAAAAATTCTAGCTTTTAAATTTCCCAGTAATTTCTTTTATGTACTATAGATAATATATATAGTCAAAAAAAAATAAAAAAGAGGTGATATTAGACTCATCTAGACATTAAGTGTGTGCTGCTTATTGTGGCTAAACAGATTCAGTTACAGCTGCTTGATATGGTTAATTCTCTGTGATATTAGATCAATGAAACTGTAACTATGGCATTTTTACTAAAAAAGAAAAGGAACAAAATGTTCATATTTCTGGAATGTAAAACAACACCAAAAGTCAGTCAAACCATCATAAATTCTGCAGTAGTCTTGCACATGTAATTATATAATCTGTTCCAGATGCTCCCAAAGGCCTTTAAAAAACTGCATGACTTCTTCAAGTGACCTTCCCACATGAAATTCACTTTTGCAAACAACACTTGAGTATCAGACAATGAGATGGTAATTTCTTTTAGAGAAAAGTAACTTCTGGTTTGCTATCGATTGTGTAAATTCATGAGATATATGTCATTTTAAAATTGTGAACTGTCTTGTTAATAACACCTGCATACTGATTGTAAGCCATCAGGTCTTCCCAAAAAATTGACTACTTTTGAATTCCAAGTTTCAATAACTGAGTACTTTTTATTTTACTATTACTCAAGTATGGCTCAGTGGATTGTATATTAAATTGATCTGATTCCCTCCCTAAGCATGAGGGGAAGGAGGGTTTTCTTAAACACTGTAAGAATGGAAAAGGTCAGGACAACATGAAAGAGTATTTTTCAGACCACAAATGAGAAACTGATTGAAATTTGCAATGTAAAAATGCAGTCTAACCTCTGTTTTGCAGAGGTTGAGGTGCAAGTTTTTTGACCATTTACTAAAATAAAATTTCTGGTGAGAATCTTGGTTTACATAAAACCACACCGAACCAAACCAACCCCTCATCCAGATTTTATTCATATATTTATTAATATGTTATATACTTCTCATGATATTACTAAACTCTAAAATAATATTAAATTCATTCCATCAACTCTGTTCTTCCCCAAAATGCTGAAGAGGAATGAGTAGTGATAACAAATCAAACAGATATATGCATCACTAATCCATACAGCTCAGCTCTCCTTGAAATGTAAATTCCAGAAAGGGACTTGCATTTTCAAAGATGCATACAGCTTCTGCTAACTGGTGCTCCTGCATTCAGCTCATTTAAAGATTAGCTGTAAACTTCAGAGAAGAAAGAAAGACTTGATGCCTGCAAGCATAAATATAGAAAGACATTAGAATTTTTTCCCTTCCTTTTTCTTGGAAGACTATGAAATTTAATGTGGCACATAGACGTATGAGTTTTTCAATTACTAGAACCTACCTGAAACTTTTATTAAAGTATACATTGTTTTCAAATTTGCTTCTTGGAAGAAAAAAATAAAAAAAAACTCGAAATAAATTTTCAGAATGTATAAGAAACAGAAAGTAATAATTTTTGCCTAATATAACCTGCATTTATGTTGCTCCCTTTGATAATGTATTTCTGAAATTGGAAGGAGTTTGTTTATCACTGACATTGCATTGGTCAGAAAGAACCAGCCATGCTAGACAATACTGGGAATCTGGATTTGGGTGTCCTGTTATCAGACTAAAGTGCTGTGCCCACAATATAGAAAGAGCCATTCTGATATAGAATCACACTGTAAATTCAGAGTTCAGACATTTTCTGGTCTAACCTTTTACTTGACAAAAGACAAAGAGCACACTGTTAGACTGCACAACTGTAGTCATTACAGTTTACCTATGCAATGCCCTTGTAGAGATGGTAGAAGAGCAGCATAAACATTCTGTTCCTTGACTAATTTGAAACAAAAATTTTGTATTTCCACAGATTCTTATTTGACATTGTATTTCTTTGTCTACATCTAATCAATATTAATGATTAAGAAGCCACAATCTCAGAAAAGTGGAAGAAGTAAAAGACAATTTGCACCGTCTGTAGAAATCAGGGATGTAGTAAGTATACCTCAGAAATGTAATTTCAGAGATTAATTATATATTAATGAAAATCATTTGCTCTCATATATACAGCGTAATTTCTCTCATATATACATATGCAAGTAGTAGAACAGCTAAAGAATAAGATTCATTATATTATTTTTAATATTTTGCATTTTTTGAGAGAATATTTGGTGAAAGATATTTCTACATAGAGTCTGACTCTATCCAGCTTCAGAAGAATACTTCTACCTGCCTAAGTAGCCCACTCATAAGGTATTAAAAGCTAAAAGTCAGCCCTGCAATACATACCTCTTAGCCTGGAAAATGGAAGAATCCCATGGTAGGAACATACTCTCCTTTAGGCTGAGCAGTGACTTAGGTAGAAGGACAGAGATGCAGGACCTTCATTGGGTTTGGTGCTCAGAGTTGATTTTCTTCTTTGGTATTGATATGTAATAAATTGTTTACATGAAAAAGCAGAAAAATCAGCTTTTTGTTAAAAAATACTGAAAATAAAATCCTGATGCAGGGCTAGAAATGGTTGTGGTTCTTACATATAACCTGAGTATGTAGTGCTGAACACTGTGTCTGAGATATGCAACACAAGAGGTTTTTTTAATGTTGAGACTATCCCATGATCTGCATCAGAAATGGCAAAATAAAACTACACCATGCTTCAGGGGCAAGTAAATAATTTTTGTTTTTAACAAGAACCGTTGTGCCAATAGAGGTATATAAACCAAAGTCAGAAGAACAATAGAATAATTAGTCAGAGAGTACAAACATAATTCATATGGTAGTACTAAGAGCCTTTCCATTCAAAAACAAAGTGATAAAATTTATGCAATCAAATATTAGCACAGTCACTCATTAATCATTAATATTTTTGGCACTGATTTTTATTTTAGTGTATAGAATATTAGTGTTCCTGGGATATTTTAATTTCTTTACATTCAGAACCCTCACTTTAACCTTCTTCAAACAGTTTATATTTTTACTTTGGAGATTTTTTGAAAACACAAGATAGTAAGAGTGTGGTTTAATACCCATGTTATACAGACAGTAGCTTCTAGCTCACCTATTCAAAATTACAGGTGAAATAGATTCCTTCTATTATTAATTAAGTAGTTCAGCATATTAAAGATGATGATTAATTTATTGGAGCTATTATGTATGCCCCTATTTTAACATACAATTTAAACTTATTTTATGAAAAATTCTATAAATCAACACCATTATCATGTGGGATATAAAAAATACTAACAACAAAAAATACAGAACAGTTAGAATAATACTATTTCCAATATTTACATTTTTAACTGTTAGATGCATTTTTCCAAAACAGCAGAAATTTTGTAGAGATACACGTTTGCTAAGTTTGCTGAAGTTAATGTATTTGCATGTGAGACAAAGAAGATCAGAATATGACTCCCAGTAATCATACAAATACATAAAACTTATTTTTCCCACCATAAAGAATACCCTTTCAATGAGTAACAGATGTGTTGTTCCAATGAAGTATATAACCAATGTGTTAATTCTCTTAATACGAGTCTTTACAGTTTAGAAAGGTATGTCTGAAAGTGTGTCTCAGGGCCTTTTAAAGAAACATTGACCCCTAATGTGTTAATGCCAGTCAAAGGAATGATTAACCATCCTGTAAAATTTTGCATTGTGCTCTCTGAAGTAAGAATAGAGTTGCTCTAAAACAGTGCTGTTAACAAGAGGATGGGGACGCCCTTTGGATTCATGTAAACATCTCTCCCTCCCATCACTTCTGATGCAGTAGAATCCCTTGGTTTGGTTAAAATAAAAATTAGAAGACATAATTCGGGATGGAAGATTTAGAAATCTTTCAACTTTTTGTAATTCAGGAAGAGGGTCCTTGATCAAAGTATTTCCATCCACTATGTGAATCTGATCCAAACTGAAATGCTTAAGCCACTTTTCCATATGGACATCATATAGACTTCTCTGAATAGCTTTGTATTTGGTATTAAGCACTCCATTCTTAATAACAATATCTTCAAAGAGCTGAACAGGCTTGTGACTTTCTACTCTGTTGTAATACACTTGGGTATAGTCAGATATAACTCTCTCAGTGGGATCTCTTAGAATGAGCAGCAGTTTAATGGAGCTATTCATGTCATGAATTCTTCCTGGAGCCTGTGGTGATGTAAAATAGCCTGGTGTTTTCTCAATTGTAATTTGATTTCCATAAGAAAATGGCATCAGATTTCTATACCAGTCTATTCCTTTTACATAATTTTCATCCCAGTCAAAGAAGTGGACTTCTGTAGCTGCCACCACAATGTTAGGATGAATATCCAACATTTCCAGCAAAGCTCTGGTCCCTCCTTTACGAACTCCTATGATGATTGTCTGAGGTATTTGTCTGCTCGTGCCAGGAGGTCTCACCTGTGCTGAATAGTGCTCACTTTTATTGCTGAATAATCCCACTTGTGACTTCAGTGTTGCCAGCAGTGCCCCATTCTCAACAGGAGCACCCCGAGCATGAGTCAGCAGAAGATAAGCTGACACAAGTAGGAAGGCCATGTGGAGAGGAATAATTATTTCAAGATAATGTTTTGCTCAATTAATGAAAGAACAGGTGAGTCCCCTCTGGTTGGCAGAACCCGTGGTAAACACACAGCAAGCTTCTGAAGCATCTGCAAAATAAAATAAGACAAATCAGTGATTCTAAAGTCATCATGAGTTAAAAAATTCAATGCACAATTCAATTCACAAAGCTAATCTGTGATACCAATAGGAAATTAATAAGGAAATTATTTGTTTCCCGTGAGTTTATATCAGAAGGACAGGAAAGTCCCATGTGTTGGGGCTTTTTTCTCCTTACCATGAGTGACCATTGATGGTTACTAACCTTACAACAACTTTTATTTCCTCTAAGCAGATTAGAATTTTTTACCTGATTTTGAATCCTGACCATTTGCTGCTTGCTTTGATTTCCCTAATTATCTTCCATATATAGCACATCTCTTGTTATAAATACTGTACCCCATATGATAACAATAATTCCAAAGAATATTTGAACGTCAGCACCTTTCCTCAAATTCCCTACTAGAATAGTATATTCTCATATAAATAACAGACCTTGATGATGGTGCCACCATCTGGGTTTTAGTGAGCTATGAATCACACAAAAATAATTCTGTTTTCTTAGACACAAAAAACCAAAACATAGATAGAGGCAAAGTTTTGAAATCTGAGCCCATTAGAGCAGAAAACTAACTCTGTCAAACAAAAGTAAAGTGGCTAAGTGGGATCAGTGTGGGAAAAATAAATGATGCCGGGTGGATGGATTCTCTGCAACTATCCAAGTGTTGCGCTGCACAGTCATATGCGTGTTGGGAAAGTCTGGGCTAAATCAGATCTTCAGATAATATTCTGCAGTTCCTCCAAAGCTCTATATAAGACATACCCAGATGCTTTCTGGTCACTGAGAGATTTCTGCAGGGAGGCAAGTCTGCTTGAGGCTGAACAGCTTCTTTTACTTAATCCACATTGCATATGGTCACTTTAAGAAGTGGCAAATGTCAAATATCTTCAAAATTTGCAAAAACTTCATGCTTGCAGGTATGTGCATGTGCAGATGTAAGTGAAAGCAAGCATCTATGTAACTGTGTTACTAAAATTTGAAATATACTGGGTAACTTTTGTACATAATATTTGAAACAGATTGTTTATGGATCTGCCATCACAACAACAGACATAAAAAATTCAGATCAATGCAACACCTGCACTTGAACCACCGTGCTTGGATTGCCTGTTTTTAACTCTGAAAATCCTTCAGGACAAATTCCCTTTGAGAGGACTCTTGAGTTTCACTCAATTTCTGAGCAATTATATGATTTAAAGATTTGTGGGATATATCTACATTCTTGTTTTGTTTTCAATGCAGCATGCAGAAACAAGGGGGTTTTGTACAGTGAAGCAGCAGTCCTTTAATAAGCAATAACCATTTTTGGAATAATTTTGAATTATGGCACATATTTTAAAGTAGTCTCAGAAATGTTACAACCTTAGCTCCTTCTCCAGTGTTCACTGTCTCTTTCTTTTTCTGAACATATTGGTCACAGTACTTCATCTCTTAGAAACAACCTTAGAAAACACAGCTGATTCCCATTTGTCATGGCACTGAGGAGCATTCAGCATTTCTATTTAAAAATTGTTTACTTTGAGTCTTACTTTACAGGCTTAATGACTTTAAATTTTTGATAATAACAGTCCAGGCAATGCAGCAGATTCATTAAATCTATTTTCTACATTTTACTGAAACCTTCTCCAGCTTCTTGGATATCTGGGGAATGATTGTAGTCAGCCTCAACGAGCACTAAACTCACAGTTATATAGCAAATATTAACCCTAAAATTGTTATTTAAAAAATAAACTATGACCTTTAGTGAAGAAATCTGCAGAGAACATTCCCTGTTATGTCTGAGCAAGACTTAAAGGGCAACTGCTTCTTCAAAAAGCGCATAGTTTCAATAGGAAGAGTGAGTATATGATTACTAAATATTGGAAAATCCAAGTACAAATTTGCTTTGTAATCACAGAGTGGAATGCTGTTCTTTAGGAACTTGAAAGGAAGTTTCATTTTAAAGACAACCATTTTTTCCACTAGGAACTTCACTCAGAAGTTCTGTTTGAAGTTCCCAAGAGGAAAGAATGCGAGAATTTCTATGGCAGCCACAGGAGGGAAGAACAGGTATGTTTATACCAAAATCTTTTATAGTTACTATTCCTTTGGATGGCAAGTTTGGGAAGTGGTAACCATGCTGTTCAGTGCTGCTGAGGATTAAAATGCATTTTACAATAATGGCAGCTAATGCTGGTTTTGGAAAGATCCTTCGGATGTACAGCACGAAAGGTGCAGCGTCGCACCCCAGATGATTCCTGGAATGCCAGCTTTCAAAGAAGGGACTCTGCTTTAAGAATTTCCAGCCAAATTTTCCACAATTCACAAGGTTCCTGAACAGTTCAATCTGAGGAAAGGCACAGTAATGCATAAGATGGTATCAGAAGTAGCAATATATGATACCATGGCATCTTTCCAGCCCTGTGATGCCAGCAGGCTGGGATTTGGGAGCAGGGGACAAGGGAGCAGTTGATCATTCTTTTAACCTGAAATTAATTCTGAAATCCCAGTGTTAGTTTGCATTCTATTAATCTTCATTGTTAAATTAAAATTCTTCCAGGAAGACTGAGGAATTGTTTTTATAAAAATCTTACAGGTTTTCTCAATTTACCACTTTCACGATAATACAGCATGTAATACATTATAAATGCACTTACACATCTATACATTAGATTACAAGTACTTTGAACTAAGGAAATACCTGTCTGAATGTCTGCCAAGCAAGGGATTACTTATAAATACCAAGGTGGAGACATACAGTTCATTATCTGATTTAAATTCTGGAACTATCCCACTTTGAAACAGTTTCATGAGCTGATTCAAGACAGGTATTTTAGGCAAATTTACTTAACTTGAAAGAAAACTATTTTTGTATTTCTTGAGAATTAGTATTCTTGAGACTAACTAGGTTAACAGCTTAAATTGAAAAAATAGAAAGGAAGAGGAAAGAAGCAGGAATTTCTCTGGAATAAACTAAAAGCAGAGTAAAAAAGAGATAAGTATTTCATACTGGGTCTCTGCACTAGTATAGACAGAGATGTGCTCTTCCTAGATCTGGTGACAGGTGAAAAAATTCTCACATTCACTTCTTAATTTTGTTTAAATAATTCAAACACACTAACATTATTTCATCCCTGAGTTTTCTAGTTTCATACACCTAAGAATCAGGTACAAATACTGAAACCCAAAGAAGACTGTAAGCTGTATGAGAAAATCATACTTATCACTGGGGAAAGATTGGTCTTCCAGAATATTCTCAGGTTCACTTCTGATATGAGTGAGAGTCTGCTTAATTTACCATCTGAAATCAGTAGTTCTCTTTAAGACACATTCAGACAGCAAGTAGCAGAAGGAATTCTGCATATTCTGTGGCCTGAAGTACTGTTTGAAAAAATAATTAAACTTAATTATTAACCATTTTAACCAGTTTTCAAATTAATTAGCTGTTTTAAAAATTTCTTAGAATTATTGCTAGGAAAAATCCTTACCCAGAAAATACTACAGAAAAAATCAAATTCAAAATGTGCTGTAAAATTGGTTCCTAAATAGATCAAAGTTGCCTTTGGGAGCAATTCTATCACAACAACATTTCAGCTTTGGCCTAAGACATTTGATTGATTTCAGTGAAGCTCTAAGATTTTAGATCTTGTGGTTAGGTTATAATTGCTACACAAATGTAAAGGTTTTAAAGCAGATTTATCACATATAATTGAAATGTTATTAGAATAATTTTTGTGTTGCCTTTATGCCTTTATGCAATTACATTTTTAGAAGATATTAACTGCCTTTTATAATGAAAACAATATATTTTACATTGGTGCACTGCACCAATGAAGAATCTGAAAGTATTCTTGTAAAACTAACCCCATGACACATTATGAGAATTACAGTGCCTTACTACCATTTTTCCCTGTTATTTAGTAGTGTTGGTGCTGTTTAGTAACATAAGGAACATCAACAGATATGATACTTATTAAGTAGAAATGTAGTTCAGAAAGAAATTTGTGCTGCAGAAAGGACTAATTAAGTAAATATTACCTTGGGCAGCTGTTTCTTTTATTTTTTAAAACCTAGACTAGACTTGAGAAGCAGTTATGCTGGCTGAAAAATCATTTTAATATTACAGAACTGTACTAAACACCATTAACTGCGGCACTGTACTCTGAAAAAACTTCCAAGTGTCTTATGATTTATCTTGCTTTGGGGTAAAGTACAAAATCGTTGGGCAAACCTACATATATTATTACTAATTTATAACATTATTAGTTCCTAATAATACTTCCTGTATTACAGTGCCTGTAATGCTTTTCATTGGAGAATTCTGCAGCACTCTGTGTTAATGAACTGCCTGCAACTTATTAAGGCACCATTCCCACCTTACAGGAAATTGCAGCAGACCAATGGACAGATCCAGTTCAGGAGTGCAAATGCTTGGGAAAGTCAGGCTAATCTGATCTGCTCAGGGTCACATAGCAGGTTGATAGTCCAACCAAGAATAAAAACCCCAGGGCTTCTAATTCTCCTTCCAATTCCCTTTTCAATTCCGACTTCGTGCCATTCCATAGCAGCATCTCCCAACCCTTATGATAACTTATAGCTGGATTACATGCTAAACTGAAAAGCAAAGAGGTTTCTCATTGTTTCAGCATAAAAATCAACTTTTTTTTTTTAATAAAGCTGCTTCTTTCTACTCGCTCCTCACAAAAACAAAAAAATGAATCAAGTATTAACTACAAACTCAGGATTTTGTTGTTTCAAGGCTTTTGTGCAGAAATACTTCTGTTGGTGACTGAAAACTACAGCAATGTGGGGTAGTCAGAGCAAATATAACAAAGCATCAATTTTTGTCTTGATTTTTAAAAATATAATGGGATTCAAAAAAAGGTACAGCTTTTCCTGTTAATTCCTATTAGATACAAACTTATCCTGACACAAAGATCAATCACTGAGAAGAGTACAATACAAACATGTTAAGGCTTACTGGCACACAAACTTGGAACAGCTCAATTA